GTTGGACTAAATGGCCTTTAGAGGTCCCTCCCAACTTTAGGATTCTGTGAAAGAGATCTTTGTCGACCACAAGCCAATAGTGTGATGCTGCAGCTGAAAAGGCCAATGCCATTTTAGGCTGCGTCAATAGGAAAAGCCTGAGAGAAGGCAAAAGGGAACTGATAATGACACTTTACCTCGGCTAGTTTTTTAATTGCTTTAAATGAGTATTATTTATTGCAACTGTTTATTTAACTTATTGCCAGCATGATGTAAAGGACCCAGAGTGTAAATGAAATTCAAGGAGAAAGAGCAACTGTAATGTACAATGTAAGGTACAATGTCCCTCTCATAGGAACCTGCTTCTCATAAGCATTTGAATTAAAATTACCATATTGAATTCAAATCTGATTTTTTAAAATTTTTATTTAGTGTGCATTGGAAGGGGGGTGGACTTATACGGCGAGTATATGCTAAACTCTATATTTTAACTGGAAAAGTTGGGGGTCGTCTTATACGCCCAGTCGTCTTATATGCCGGAATATACGGGTAACTGGAAAGAACTTAAACCCCCCACAAAGCTAAATGACTATACAAAGCATGCATTAAAAGAACACCCTCCCCCGCCCCTCCCTCCTGCACGAGAGGAAAAACCCCACAGCTTGAGAGAGGGAGGGAAAGGTGGCCGGTATATCCCTCTTGCTACCCCCTGCCTCTCCCTTCCCAAAGGATTCAGAGAGAGGGAGGAAGAGAAGGAGGGAGAGAGGACACCCTCCTCCAGATCCACCCCTCCCTTTCCTTCCTTTCCTTTCCTTTCTCACTGTCGGCAGCATGGAGGTGCCTCCGCTGTGAACTCACACAGGAGGGATTCTATGTGTGTATGTGTGTGCGTGTGTCCAGAAAGCTAATCCATACTGAGTTATGGGAAGGAATTCTGGGAAACGAAGTCCAATATTCAAAGAAAGGGCAAAAAGGCACACTCTGTGAGTTAGAAAAGGCTGCCCAGGAAGGTACAATCAAAACACCCTCAAAAGATGGCCATTCATTTTTACTTTATAGCAACCCTTGGCTATAATATATCTACAATAATAATATCTATATATCTATCATAATAATATCTATAAATCTATTATATGTGTGTGTGTGTGTCTATGATATCTATTAGGCCTGGGCGGTTTCGTTCGTTAATTTTGTAATTCGTTAAATATTCGTTATTTTTAACAAT